GTAGTAGTAGTAGTAGTAGTAGTAGTAGTAGTAGTAGTAGTAGTAGTAGTAGTTAGTAATGGTGGTGGTGGTAATGGTGGTAGTTGTGATGGCAGCAGCAGCAGTAGCAACAGTAGTTTTTAGTTTTAGTAGAGGTTTTACGGCGCTCGCAACGGCATAAGGTCATATGACCGCAAAGGGGTGGATGTCAACAGAGAAGTCCTTACAGGGATTCAGACTTACTCTGCTCACCTCTCTTGCTTCCGCAGCACAAAGTCTGCTTCGACTATCAAGGCACTCCGGAAATAGCGGGTCACAGGAGTGTTACAAACATATAAAAGAAGTAGAGGAAAATGACAATAGTAGTAAGGATTAGGAAAGAAAAAGCAGCAGTTCCCTGTAGTAGTTCAGGCACAGTTATGGGCATGACATTGTTGGATCAGCCCATTTACAATTCTACTGTGCATTAGAACGAGAAAGGTCCCCCCTTTGGGAATGGCCTAAAGACAGTTTAGTCAGATGTCACTCCTGGCTCTGAGGTTGACGTGCAATGACCCACCGGTGCTCACGGTCGCCAGCTACATTTTTACATTCTGCCGTACTCAGACCATTACTTACTTGTAATATCCTGCCAAACTTACTCTTACTTTTTACTTGTACTTTTTTTGGCCTCTGTTACCTTGCGATGTCGAGGGGGAAAAGCAAACATCTTTCTCTTGTTTGCTGCATGGTCATATTGTTCTGGACTCTCGACTACTGTTTCTCTAACCCCCTTTATTCATCTTCTTATTTTTCCTTGGCCTGTCTCTTCTTCTGTTTCCATCTGATGTGTGGTTGTATGCTCTCGTTGCTGTACTGTCTGGTAGTTATCTTGGCAGATGTCCAAACCATTTCATTCGTTATTTATCTATTAGGTGTTGCAAGAGGGGAGTTGAGCCAACTTGATCTCTGACAATCTTTCCTATCAAACAATACCATGTATAACATGTCACAGCGGGTGTTCTGGTGTGGTTTGCTCCTTCTTTGCTATCAAACATATATCATTCTGATCTCTTCCTTTTTTAAAAAGTGTTTGTCATTCTCTGCTGACATCTGTAATCTTCGGCATTTATATGACCTTATTGTGTTGCAAGTTACTGTAAAACTCTTACTAAAATCAACATGCCCCCCCTCCCCCCCCCTTTTCTGCGATTCTCAGGTCCATGTTGAGTGCACAATAGACAAGAGTGCTGCAATCCCCGGAGACTATATTACCATAGATGCTGACGTCATGAATTTCAGCGGTAGATGGATCTCGCTTATCCAAGCCGCCGTGTTACAAGAGAGTTACTATTACGCACAAGGCAAGGAAATCATCTTCCGGTAAGCAGAAATGCCGGTTTGACTTTTTAAATCGTTTGATAATTTACTTTTGGGAAAATATTATAATGATGAAGTGTACATAATGTTTAAGTAATTAACTTGAATGGTGTAC